GGACCTGAGACAGACAAGGTAAGATTACTTCACTCTGGTTTTTCTTGGACCTGAGGCAGACAAGGTAAGATTAATTCACTCTGGTTTTCTTGGACCTGAGACAGACAAGGTAAGATTACTTCACTCTGGTTTTCTTGGACCTGAGACAGACAAGGTAAGATTACTTCACTCTGGTTTTCTTGGACCTGAGACAGACAAGGTAAGATTAATTCACTCTGGTTTTCTTGGACCTGAGACAGACAAGGTAAGATTACTTCACTCTGGTTTTCTTGGACCTGAGACAGACAAGGTAAGATTACTTCACTCTGGTTTTCTTGGACCTGAGGCAGACAAGGTAAGATTACTTCACTCTGGTTTTCTTGGACCTGAGACAGACAAGGTAAGATTACTTCACTCTGGTTTTCTTGGACCTGAGGCAGACAAGGTAAGATTAATTCACTCTGGTTTTCTTGGACCTGAGACAGACAAGGTAAGATTACTTCACTCTGGTTTTCTTGGACCTGAGACAGACAAGGTAAGATTACTTCACTCTGGTTTTCTTGGACCTGAGACAGACAAGGTAAGATTACTTCACTCTGGTTTTCTTGGACCTGAGACAGACAAGGTAAGATTACTTCACTCTGGTTTTCTTGGACCTGAGACAGACAAGGTAAGATTACTTCACTCTGGTTTTTTCTTGGACCTGAGACAGACAAGGTAAGATTAATTCACTCTGGTTTTCTTGGACCTGAGACAGACAAGGTAAGATTACTTCACTCTGGTTTTCTTGGACCTGAGACAGACAAGGTAAGATTACTTCACTCTGGTTTTCTTGGACCTGAGACAGACAAGGTAAGATTAATTCACTCTGGTTTTCTTGGACCTGAGACAGACAAGGTAAGATTACTTCACTCTGGTTTTCTTGGACCTGAGACAGACAAGGTAAGATTACTTCACTCTGGTTTTCTTGGACCTGAGACAGACAAGGTAAGATTACTTCACTCTGGTTTTCTTGGACCTGAGACAGACAAGGTAAGATTACTTCACTCTGGTTTTCTTTCCCCTTTTGCTTTCATTAATGCATTATCAAATTTATCCAAAAACTGATTTAATGTTTTTATGAATTTCCATGAGTTTTGTTATGAATCATCTTAAACCATGTTTCAATGACACAAAAATCATGAATTAGAAAATCTTTTGTTATACATAATACTTCACCATGATATAAAAAGACAAAAACGATATGAAAATATTTATGTGTTTTTATTTTTCCTATTTTACATTTGTTCTCCAATACATGAATCCACGAGAACAGCTTAGGCTCCATCTACTTAGATACGTTTGTTAATCACCACAAATAACTATACAAAATAACCCCCCTCTAATCTATAGTGATATCTTTTGTCTCTTTCACAAGTATCCCTTCCACATCTCAATATCATTATCAGATACACAAGAATCAATAAAAATTTAATTTCATTTACGACAAGCACTTTGTTGTTTGTGGGTAAAACATGGCAGCTGATTTGAAGAAGATTAGTCAATATACAACTTTCAATCATTCTCTCAGATCTCTGTTTAAAATGAAGGGTGGCCTCTGTGGTATTATCTGACTAGAATGTCCTGTTATATCTATTATAGAGAACAGATATCAACTATAAACATTTATTTGGTAACATGGAAGAAATAGCGGATGTCTCTCAGAGATTTTTAACAAGTTTAGAAAACGCTGTCAATGGTAAATCATTTGAAGATCAAGTTGTAGGTAGGTTAAGAGTAATAATTTAAAACATCTCTTCGTATTTGTTATAGTTAATATTAGGTAAACCATAAAGAAATTGGTCAATTACTGCTAATTACAATCAACTGAATAGTTGCGGACTCTGTCACGCTGGTTGATAAGATCAGATTATTTTGTAATAAAATATAATCAACTGACTGTAATTGGTAAAACGAATGAAAATATGATTTTGCAGTTGTTGATGGAGTTTTGTTGAAACATGATTGTAAACATCTCAAAGTGTTTATCATAGTTGACAATCGGGAAACATTTATTTAAAAAACTCGATGTTTGAATTTAGGAAAATAAAAGTCTATTGGTATTTCCACAAACAATTTCATTCGAAATAAATTTGTGTCCATAACTATTTATTTCAGTCTACATGTCTAACTCAAAATTTTGTAAATCAAAGTTTAAAACAGTAGAAAAGTTTTCTGCTGTCCTGTTGTTGATATCCGCTGTCCTGTTGTTGATATCCGCTGTCCTGTTGTTGATATCCGCTGTCCGGTTGTTGATATCTGCTGTCCTGTTGTTGATATCCGCTGTCCTGTTGTTGATATCTGCTGTCCTGTTGTTGATATCTGCTGTCCTGTTGTTGATATCCGCTGTCCTGTTGTTGATATCCGCTGTCCTGTTGTTGATATCTGCTGTCCTGTTGTTGATATCCTGCTGTCCTGTTGTTGATATCTGCTGTCCTGTTGTTGATATCCGCTGTCCTGTTGTTGATATCTGCTGTCCTGTTGTTGATACCTGCTGTATTGAATATTGATGGTTTAGTATGAGTCAATGAATATTGAATTTTATTTTCTAGGTAAAAGTTTTGTGGAGTTTGCTGAAGATATGAAGAATACGTATGCACCATATTGTAGAAATCATGATGAAGTTATTACTGTTATGGAAAAGGTAGGATAAGAATGAATAAAACAACTATATTTTACAAGGATAACAACTCAGGTTCACAAATTCTTTCTACCAGTTGGTTCTTGGCCAAACTTTTTGACATTGATCTTTCCTGGATTATCCGTACCCATTAACAGCTGGGTACACTGGAAGATTGAGTGAAGATGACAATAACTTTCCCAGTTTTGACTCTAGATTAAGATTTTTTGCGCAAAATAAAAGTTAAACATGCCCTTCACTTTTTCAATCCAAAACAGAAAATCACAAAGGGGCAGATGCACCATTTTCAGGGTTTGATTTAGATCTTGAATATATGTAAATAGTCTTCAGAAGTATAATCCTTGAATGACGCAGAAACATGCATTTGAAGGCTCAAATTACAAATGTGAGCTGTGAATATTGCTGATTAGCCGTTTCTGAGACTAAGGTACGCCTGGTGGAAAGAATGGCGCATCTATCCCTAAAGTAAATACTGCTTTTTAATCCAAAACAGATAATGGCCAAGGTAGCTTAAAAAAAGTGTAAAGAAGTAAAACTGTATTCTATTTGTTTTTAAACTTATTTTAGTATAAAGGTAATCCAGAAATACGAGAATATTTCCAGAAGCTAATAAACAACATGAGAGAATATTGTAATGTGTTTGATCTCGATGCCTTATTAATTAAACCAGTTCAGAGAATTCTAAAATATCCACTATTTCTAGGAGAACTATTGAGGGTAAGTGAATGTTGAATTCTGAAAGTTAGTCAAATAAATACTAATTACAAAATATTAAAAAAAATGTCTATTTTATGTTTATTTCTATTCCGTTCTATTCTATTCTATTCTATTCCATTCCATTCCATTCTGGTCTATTCCATTCCATTCCATTCCGGTCTATTCCATTCTATTCCATTCCATTCCGGTCTATTCCATTCTATTTCATTCCATTCCATTCCATTCCGGTCTATTCTATTCTATTCCATTCCATTCCATTCTATTCCATTCCATTCCATTCCATTCCATTCCATTCCATTCCATTCCGGTCTATTCTATTCCATTCCATTCCATTCCATTCCATTCCATTCCATTCCATTCCATTCCATTCCATTCCATTCCATTCCATTCTATTCTAGGTAACAGAAGACAGTCATAAAGATAAAGTTGAAGTGTGTCAAGCTATCAATGCTGTCACTGATGTAGCTAAAGCTATTAATGAATATAAACGTAGAAAAGATTTAGGTAAGTTGAATCAGGGCAGGTAATGGAAGTGGTCTGTCATTACAATTGATTGATTTTTAGGATTATTTTTTCGTTAGTTCGATTAAGTTTTTGGATATAAAACTGGAGAACATTAAGGTAGTAGGTTGAAGAATGAGTTCCAGTTCCACCCTACTGTTAGGAAACCTGAATAGCTTTTTCACTGATGTAAATCTAGAGTAAAAACTCTAGTGCTTCCACAACAAACTTAAATTTTGAACATCAAACCAGTTTAGTTATTTGTTGACGACGAGACAAGACTCCACAGAGCCTCATCATCCAATCAAAGTCATTCTATACAAAAAACGGCCAACTTTTCCCTTTCCTTGGCAGCCTGCAACTAACTGTCTAAGAAACTCTTGACATAACGCCCAACTTGAGATTTTCTGTCTCTTTATGTGCCTGCAACTAACTGTCTAAGAAACGCTTTACAAGACTCTAGTCTACAACAGAGTTTATCTGTGTGCTGTCAGCCTATAATCTCTGTAATTGTTATTGTAGTATATAAATATAAGAGAGAGTCTGATGCTAGTCTAGGTGAAATGTTCTCTAAGTTAAATCTCCACACATTGAAGAAGAAATCAAACAGAATGAGAGGTAGATTATCTAATACGATGGGAATCAGTTTACAGGTTGGTAAAATTCTTGTGGTTCACTTTGAAAATATCTGATCCAAAATCTTTTTTTCCTTATTTATTATCTGACTGGATACAACCTGACATACATGATGCTGTATGGATACATGTTCTCATGTATCATTTTTTGAAGAGAATCCTCCTTTGCCATGTGTTACGGAATTGTCGTGACTGTCATAATGTTACTCTTGTATACGTAATGTTGTTATGTATCAGTCTAACAATACAATCTATTGGAAACACAATGTTTTTCTATCTTACAAAGTTTTAACCATAACTCATCCTACATATTGGTTCCGTGACCATTAGAGAGGCTAAAAGCAATCGAAGGCAGACACAGAAGAACGGAACACAAATTATTAAAAATAAATAAGTAGTATTTTAAGATGAAACGAGTTAACTTTATGTTATTACAGACAAGAGATGAGAATTTTGAGAGAGAAGAAAATAGATTTCGAAGTTTAGAAAAAGCTGTAAAAGTTTTATTGAAAGATGTACAGTGTTATATGGATAATGTACAGGTAAGACTTGATTATAGTAACATCTACATAAAGATAATATGTTGAGATGAAGGCTGGATATAGTCAAACTTAGTGTATTTAGGACCAGGGTCATTTTCATATTTACACCCCTTATGATGTAGAATTATAGATAATGTGGAACACCTAATCTTCAAAGTTCCAGGGTTTGTTTATTAGATAAACAATATTACTAGGTTATTGTATGTAACTGTTTGTAACTATGTGTACCTGTGTGTAACTATGTGTAAGTGTGTGTACCTGTGTGTAACTGTGTGTAATTGTGTGTACCTGTGTGTAACTGTGTGTAACTGTGTGTAACTATGTGTAACTATGTGTACCTGTGTGTAACTATGTGTAACTATGTGTAACTGTGTGTAACTATGTGTACCTGTGTGTAACTGTGTGTAACTGTGTGTAACTGTGTGTAATTGTATGTAACTGTGTGTAACTATGTGTAACTATGTGTAACTGTATGTAACTGTGTGTACCTGTGTGTAACTGTGTGTAACAGTGTGTAGCTGTATGTAACTATGTGTAACTATATAACTGTGTGTAACTATGTGTAACAGTGTGTAACTATAAGTAACTGTGTGTAACTGTGTGTAATTGTATGTAACTGTGTGTAACTATGTGTAACTATGTGTAACTGTATGTAACTGTGTGTAACTGTGTGTACCTGTGTGTAACTGTGTGTAACAGTGTGTAGCTGTATGTAACTATGTGTAACTATATAACTGTGTGTAACTATGTGTAACAGTGTGTAACTATAAGTAACTGTTTGTAATTGTGTGTAACTATGTGTAACAGTGTGTAATTGTGTGTAACTATTTATATCTATTACAGGAGTGTATATCATGTGAAGAAAGTTGTGTATTAAATATTGAAGATTTCTATGGTGAAAATCTACAGATGAAGTTAAAAAATTTAAATCTTTATATCTGAAAATATCACAGCAACATTATCCACAACTTGTATGTATTAAACTTATCTTTTTAAATTTACATTATGTTGATTTTTTTCTGATATTTTTATCTCCATTGTACTCTAACAAGTTTTTCTTCCACAATCCCTTTCTTACTTACTTTTTTTAACCAATCAAAATGTGTCGTGTAAAACCTGTTTGTTGATAACGTTCAGGGATCGTGTGATAGCCAAATCCAAATTATATAATAATATGACAGCCTTTTCGAGTTTCACTTTCCCACAATTCTAAAGAACATGACATACTTTGATAGGTTACAAGAAAAGATATAAGTTTTTATTATTGTGCTATAGATAGATAATTTGAGATGTTATATTGTTGTAGAGAAGTACAGTCGAACAGTTAGTTATAATCCCTCTCAATAAACTAACAGTAATGTTTAATGGACCTATAAAAGTTATTGAGAAACGTTTTGATAAATTATTGGATTATGATAATTTGTTTAAAAAGTCTAAAGACACAGGAAAGGTAAATACTTTATTTATAAATTAGGGGAGAGTATACCACAGTTTAATTAGAGAATAAAAAGGTTTTCTAGCATTGCTTTTCACATTTTTAGTCAGAACCACAGATATTTTTAGCAGCTTTGCTTGACTTAGAAAATTCAATATTTCACAAGTAAAACAATGCTGTTATTTGTCACTAACTCAATATATTGGTTTTTTTCAAATCAATTACTTACAGACAATAGGAATTAAAAAATCTATTTATTAGCATAATGAGATTATGTACTTTATGCAATTTTAAAAAAAAACAGAACATTTTTATTTTCAGTATAATGATGCCCTGGACTCAGCTAAAAATGATTATGAAGCAATGAATGCCCAGTTACTGGATGAACTTCCTAAATTATATAGACTTGTATATCAAGTCTTTACAGATTGTATGAGATGTTTTATACAAGCTCAGAAGAAATATTTAGATATATCATTACAAGAAACTTACTCAATATTAGACGTAAATATCATATCTCAAAATAGAAATATTTATTTCCCTTCAGTGATAAAACTACAGGGGCTGGCATTGATATGAGTCTAGCTATGTGTGCTACGCAACGTGCAGGTTAACCATGATTTCACGCTTCTTTGGATGAGGTCACGCTTCTTTGGATGAGGTCACATTATTTGGATGAGGTCATGCTTCTTTGGATGAGGTCATGCTTCTTTGGATGAGGTCATGCTTCTTTGGATGAGGTCACTTTATTTGGATGAGGTCATGCTTCTTTGGATGAAGTCATGCTTCTTTGGATGAGGTCATGCTTCTTTGGATGAGGTCACTTTATTTGGATGAGGTCATGCTTCTTTGGATGAGGTCATGCTTCTTTGGATGAGGTCACTTTATTTGGATGAGGTCATGCTTCTTTGGATGAGGTCATGCTTCTTTGGATGAGGTCACATTATTTGGATGAGGTCATGCTTCTTTGGATGAGGTCATGCTTCTTTGGATGAGGTCATGCTTCTTTGGATGAGGTCACATTATTTGGATGAGGTCATGCTTCTTTGGATGAGATCATGCTTCTTTGGATGAGGTCACATTATTTGGATGAGGTCACATTATTTGGATGAGGTCATATTATTTGGATGAGGTCACATTTCTTGAATGAGGTCACTTTATTTGGATGAGGTCACTTTATTTGGATGAGGTCACTTTATTTGGATGAGGTCACTTTATTTGGATGAGGTCACATTATTTGGAGAATTTCCTCATGGCTCATTGAATGCATGGTAAAATCTGTCTTAGTTAGCTCAAACAGAAGTAGTAAGAGAGGTTATTATTGTTATATTTTATTCACATCTTCATCAGAAATTATACAATGATAATACCAGTGCCGTATTTAGGCTGTAATTTTTGGGCCATGACCACCTCCTCAGGCCTCGAAAAAAATTTTTTTATTTTACTTTCACTCCCAAATCGTGTTAGATGTATTCTTTACCTTCCCACATTAGAAAATTTTCCACATGGAGGTCCTGACCTCCCAACCATAACTAGTGTCCTCTAAAAAGTGCCCCTCCTCACTCACCATTAATGAAATCCTAGCCACTGGATTATAAATAGACTTCTGTGTTATTAACCCTTACCTGTATTTTCAGCTACCGTTTGTGTTAGGTTCTGGAGAGAGTTTTATAGAAACGTTTAATGTAAAACATACATCAGTATTAGACCGGATATCAGGGTTGAGTTTTATTCCTCGTGGTTTTAATCCGAAATATGACAGTCTACATCGTCAAGATAGTGTTAAAACAGAGAAGAAGAAACGTATATCAGATACCGGACTGGTGAAAACTTCTCTGGTAAGTGTCAATGAATTAAGGATTGTAAAGATATTTTTAGAAAATTATGGCTTATTGTTTACAGACTTTCTATCAAGGACTCTGATTGGCTATATTTGCCAGCGAACAATCCAATCAAATTGCTGTATAATACAGCCTGTATTTACAAACTTCTGTGACATAAGAATGGTGGCTATTGCAGTCAAGGTAGAAGATGAGATTTATAATACCTTGACATTGTGAAGATAACCTGCTACTTGATTTGTAATCCCTTTTAGAAACTAATATTTCATTGTAATCATTGATTTGTTAATGGTAGTAAATGACTATTATTATATTAATTCCTGTTTCTGAAACTAAAGTATGATTGGTGAAAAATATGGCAAAGTTATTCCTTTAATTAATAACTATGTCTCTATTTCTAATTTAGGGTCCTGAGAGTATACAAAGTGAAAGTCAGAAAGTCTTTGTAATACAGCAGTTCCCAAGAGACAAGTTATACCAGGTGAATAGAAACTATAAGGCAAGTGATTTAATGGATCTGTGTTTAAACCAAGGAACAGTGGTAGGTGTCTTAAAGGAACAGGATCCGATGGGAAATAAAGATAAATGGTTTGTAGATGATGGAAGTAAGTTATAGTTAGTTTTATCTTGTTTTAGAAAAACTTGAGTTGATTTTGTTCAATGCACCATTTTAAGAATTATTCTATAAAATGGAATTTGTAGTAATGACATAATCTGGTTCACGGATTGAAGCATTTATTCTTCAAGTTCTGAAATTTTATTATTATCAACTTTTGCTATAGTGACGTCAAAAAAACATTTAGTTATAGCGGAATTGCAGGAACCACAGACATCTGAATGAAAATTAGAATGATGCAATTGATGCTATCAGTGTCCCAATACACATAAAGTTTAGAAAACCTCTTTACAATCTCTTTGATGGACATCTGATTTAAAATAGAAATGTTGTAAAGCAATAATATCAGTGTTCTTGATATGTATACAAAATTCAGAAAAATCCTCCTTATTTCCTTCTAGTTTTTCTGGAATCACAGGAAAATAAGAAGTCTAAATGAAATCAGAATGTTGCAAGAAGAGGCTATAAGTGTTGATTTATTTTACAGGTAATAAAGGTTTCATCCACAAATCAGCTTTATCTCTCTTTCAAAGTAGTTTAAACTCGGATCCAATAGGTGGCAGCACTGTGTCTACTTCTAGTCTACTGGATGATCAAGTATCAGGGGACTATACTCCGATTATAATGGGAGTGAACAAGACCAAGCCGACGTTTGAAGAGAAGTTACAAGAAGAAATGGATGAGATACTGGATGATCTGGAAAATGATAGTCAGGATTACGTTCAACCAGAAATACACGAGGTAATAAAAGTAGTCCTTAACCAATCAAAACAAGGTTATAGACCGTATTCATGCTTCAGTATGACTGTCTTTATTGCAAGGCTTCTAACAGTCCTAATTCAGGCATCAACCATATTGATTTCAGAGTGAGGCTTATAACACAAGTATAAAAGCTAATGGATTATGTTGACCCTCACATATTTCTGAAAAAGGGCAGTTTTCTAGCTGTTGATTGAGTGTTTAGTGACGTCACTGAGGCTTTTCATTCATATGACGTCTTTTCAATGGATGATGTAATTTGCGTTATGAGCCTCGCATTTGATGTGTTCAGAACGAGGCATGAAAAAGTTCTATAGAAGTATAGAATAAACATCCCTCACTATGTTGAAATCTTGAAAGATTACTGATGAGTTAAAACACATCGTGTGCTACAGACTGTGTTCATTGAATATTGCATCATGTTCTCCATCTTCAGGTGCTGAAGTTCATAATTTAATAGAAATTCTCTTGTGTCTTGTAACACTGCCTAATCAGAAAAAGAAGTTTCACACATTCATTTTTTATTGCAGTATTATTATTCAGAATATAGTTTTACAGCCCGAAATCAAAACGAGGTGACGTTATTCGAGGGACAGGTGGTAACAGTATTAGCTAAACATGACTTAAATAGTAACACTGAGTGGTGGTTGGTCGATGCTGATGGTAACCATGGTTATGTCCCTAGCAACTATCTGAAAGCAATGTGATCTGTGCTGATTGGTTGATGGTAACCATGGTTACGTTCCTAGAAACCAATGTGATTTTAAGAAATCTATGGTTGAACCATAAACCAATGTGATAGGTTACCTGTGGACTGTTTGATGCTGTTGGTTTTACTCTCCTAGCAACTGCCTTGTTCTATTGTGATTCTATATTAATATGTTATTTATTTATCTGTATAAGAACGTAAGTTTAAAACAAGACATTATTAGAGGAAGATTCAATGTGTTTTCGTGATGGTTAAATTTGGCAGTTCAAGGAAATCAAAGAAGAATGGTAGAATTTTGATATATTTTATATCTATTGTTTTGATATAACTGAGAATGACTACTAACAATTAATAAGTTAATAATAATTTAATTAAATCATATCATATCTTCACAATGTCAAGGTCAAACTACAATAACTGCTTTTTCCTGTTTCACAGAAGTTCGTTAATACTTTAGTTTGATTGAATTGTACACTACCAAAAACAGATACCTTGACAAAAAGACTGAACAATTTAGCTATGTGTGTAATCGAGGGCTATGATTGGCTGTAATTGATAGTTTACAACCAAATCTGCTGTAGCAGTCAAGGTATTAGACACAGTTTGTAATAGTTTGAACTATTAACATGTATTGTATATTAGAAACAAGAGTCAACTAATTATAAACATGAGGTCTTTCAACTTTTCACTCAAACGCATAATACTAATATATAACAAACTTTATCATATCAATATCTCATCTGATGGCATTTTATTTCTGCAATAATATAGTTAGTTCAGTAGAATAATTTGTGCCTAGATAAGTTTTTGAAATTTTGCCTTGTGATATATACCTAGCAGACAGTAAAGACATTGATGTCTCATATACTTTAGCTTGAAGTCTTAACACATTAACCCTTGACACTCCATCATCGCAATTTCATCAAAATCTTTCATTTCACTTTATCCTGGCAATATTTCCCTCATTGCACTCTGCATGGCGTTGCCCGTCTTCATTAGCCCACATGGTGCAGAAAAGTAGGACGTAAAACTCCATTCATTTCATTTCATTTTCATTTCACTCTGACATGTACAATGATATTTTCTGTAACCCTTCATTTTGAGTTAAGATATTTATTCCTCCAGGTTTGGTTGAAAACACTAACATGACTAGTTCAGTTTATCTTTAGATAGTATATTTAATGTATATTCTGGACAGACTGGTCTAGTTTTAATTATTATCTTTATCAACATCAAAATAATGTGGACTGATTCTGTTTGTTTTGAATAATATCTTGGCTTGTCAATATTTATATCTTTATATATACTGCTGGTCTCAATATATAGTTATTTGTTGGTATTCGATCAACACAAAGTCTTATCAATTATATTACAGACAATATGGAAGTGACCAGACCATACCTTAACATTTTCATTTTCATCTCCATTCTCTTTGTTCTATCTTTAATCATTATAGCATTCCATTTTACCATTATTCTGATCATGCCTGTTAATTTGTTTTTGGTGCTTCATGTAGTTCAATTTTCACTGAAAACAAGAGTGTATGTTATTATTTCTTTGAAGACCTGACATAAATAATTATCATTTACCTGTGTCATTTATCAAAAAGTTATTTTTTCCAGATTTTGAGACAGACATTTCGATTGTGTAAAGTGATACAGGTATCTAATATTAATTTCTATCAGTTGTCAATAATCATATGAATGTATCCCCTCAACATATCTTCTTGTACCCCTCAAATCATGTTTCACTTATATATTTTGTGTGTTCAAGAAAATTTCAGATGCTTCTAAATACCAAGATGCTTTAAATCTATTCACAGTGAGCTTTTTAATAAACAGAATTTTACATTTCTCTGAAAGCTTAAATAAGCTCATACATAGCTTTATTTATTCTTACAGTTTTTTTTGATAAACCAAATTATTTACTAACGGCAATATATTTATAATTTTTGCTTTTATTTATTTATTATGATATTTTTGGAGTAATATATTGATGTTTCTAACATTTAGAATAACTGAATTATTTATTATTTTAACATTGCTAATCAATTTTACTAATTAGCCTACACTAATGTCCTACACAGTGAGCTCTTTTCACATATTGTCCTTCTAATATTTTCATCATGTCCTATACCACTTCTAATAGACATATCTCAACTATTAGGCCACAAAAAAGTCTCAGTTCTGAAGTTACTGGTATTAAAAATATTGGCCCTTTGCGATTAGTGACATCATCAAACACTTAGTTTTAGTGGAATTGCAGAACTACACACGTCTGATTGAAAATTAGAATGGTGCAAATCAGTGTCCCTGATACACAAAAAAATTTAGAAAACTTCTTTAAAATCCTTTTAAAATGAAATGAGAATACAACTCATAGAAAGCATGGGCCAAGGTCTGAAGCAAGGACTATGATGATTTATTAGTTTTAACAATGTTAATAAATTTATTTTGGTGGTACTGACTTGTCCTGTACTATAACAAAGAAAAAGCTGCTTTATATAAATATTGTTTAACATGCTGCCCTTTATTTTTCATTTTTCAATTTCTGAATGTTAAAAGATAAAATACAACAGAAATGAAAAATACAAGGCAAGGCTTTTTTTTATATTTTCAATATTTCACCTAATGGCTTTCTATACAGATCTATTTGTAATTATAAATCGTTTGTTAAGAATTCACTTGTTTTTATTTTGCCTGTTGTTAAATTCTTATTTATAAATATTTCTATAATGTGATCATTGTTTTCTGTATTGGTATTTGGAAGTTAAGATATGAGCTGTTAATTTGGAATTTTCAGGCTTCATTTGAAGATATTAGAAAGTTCAACTGGATGTTCTTGGTGAAAAATCAAACTGTTCTTAACTAGCAAGGAGGGAGTATTACATAAATATGAGAAATTCTGCCATGAGTCATTTTTGCTGTATTTGGCTGACGGCTTAACTTTTGAAAGAAGTAAAACAAATTTTATTGATAATTTACATGGATTTTCATCTAAAAGAAGTGTTGAAAGGCGATCGTCTACAAAAAGACAGAAAGAAACAAATATTTTCACAAGCATTACTTTGGTTGAACTAGCTGGTCCAAGGGCAAAACTTTCAAAGCACTGATCTTTCACGGATTATCTGTACCCTTTACAACTGGGTCGACAAGAAGTTCGTACATAATGTCCAATGAGCTATTGAGAAGACATCATATAACAAATTTATACACTGTATTACTATAAACAATATTTAATATAACATAATATATAATATCATTAACAATTCAAGTTAGCAAATTATTTCTTATCTCCCTTTTAATATTAAACTTTCACATTGGCCTGAATCTTACTATTCAACCAGCCCCCTCGCCAGGAATCAATTGGTGCTATGGCTCAGATTTTTGCTCAGAAAATTTGAAGAATTAAATACCCAGAGAACTCATTTCTGACAATTTTGTGCTGCCAAAAACGTATCAAAATCTTTATCTTTTTGATTTCTTACAAAGACACTGTAAATGAATCAATCTCTACTGAACTGATGAACGTTTTGCTGGGGCTTAATTATCACTTGCTGGGACCCCGCCGGGGTGGATTCACCTTCTATTCTCTTCCTGAAATGGTGGTTGTTTTCAATTTGAATGTTTGTTCTAATAATCCATTAATTTAACCAAATTAAAGTAGCAATAGTACCAAATCATATTAAATTCCACATATTGGTACCAAAAAATAACTGCGTAGAGATAAATTGTTCGCCTTTCTCACATGTTAGAGTCTGAGGTGTTTTCCCTGACTTCCATCTTTCTTAATCGTTCCTTCACCCAATCAACACACACGAACCAGAAAGAGTCAGGTTTAAAAATTCCCCTAGCTATCCATCCCATTTCATCTGTATTAGAAATCACATGTAAATGGAGATGTTGAACACTGTTAAAGGGGGGCCAATGAAATCCCATCCTGACATCTTCTACATTCCCTCCCTGTTCTGTTATAACTTGCCGACCAATGGATTCTAGTTTTTCAACTATTGGCAGCTGTTTTGAAGTGAGTTGTTTTGGGTTTGGAATATGTTTTTTAGGTATGACTAAATAATGATGACTTGTGCACGGTTTAATATCCTTAAAAACAACATAATCTTCTTCCTGATAAATTATTCGAGTTTTTGGGTCATTTCCATTGCTAATTTCACAGAAAATACATTTTTTATCACTCATTTTATCACAATTTCAATCCTGAACTTTAAAATCATAATAAACAAGAGTTACGTTTTCCTGAATAAAGAGACACAACTCAAACTTGATGTAGAAATATTATCCAGTAACATTTACTAACATCACAGACTAACCATAGGACTGTATACTGACAACTTATAGGCTACTTTATAAATATCTAATATACTAAATCTTAGTTAAATAAAATATTATAAAATACTGTAAAGGTTTTACAAATCAAATTGGAAGAAATGCATAAATTTTGTGACTATCCTTCCTATTCCCCTGGTCTGACATAACAGGTCTATTTTTGTAACAGGGAGGAGTAAAAGACAATTTGACTATTATTTATTTACAGATATACCTTCGTGTATTATATTCCCTCATTTCACCTGATAATGACAATGGCACTGGAATAGGTAGTGAGTTGGATTGTAGTCTGTTAGACGATTAGGTGACGTGGGTTTGAATCCGAAAATTCTGCTGCCTGAGTGCCCTGAGCCAGTGCTTTCGAGAGTCAGCCTGGTGTCGACTGTCATCCCCTAATACCCAACCCTAACACACTTTTAACACAACCATTGATCATTTGAAATTAAAATAAAATCTACCCTTATAAATCCACTTGGCATAAATAATTATATAACATTACAACAAAACAAAATAACAAGTATTTAACTTTACACATTGCTAAATCTATCCAGCTGTCTAGCCTGCTAGCTGACAGAATATAAGGTAATGAGTTTAAAAGCCAGCTCTGGCCGCAGCATCAGAATTCTGATGAACACATATAACTGAATTCAATATAGAACTCAAGGTACAAATATAAATCCTATCATTACCAATTCACAAGCAGGCCCATAACTAGGGGGGGTCCCCTGGAAATTTATCCCCCCCCCCCCCCCCCCTGAAATCAGTTTCTATCAGCTATTTTGCCCCCCATGCAAATGCGGCAGCCCCCCTTGGCACATTGGGATGGCTACGGGCCTGTTCACAACACAGACAGATTGAACATCAACCAGGCCCAGAGTCTCAGGGGGGTCAATGTTTTTGAAGGGGGGCTCAACTATACAGACTCAACAAGTCATTTAAGTCATCTAAATTATTCAAGGGGGGAGGGGAATTTGTCCCTGGCTCCCTTCTAGCTCATCAACACTTTTTAGTACTAAATATATTGTTCTGTTAAAATGCGTAGTAGGCTGAAACAACCATTTAAAAGGGACAGGTACACCATTTTAGGAGGTTGAATTTAGTCTTGAATATTTGTAAATAGTCTTCAGAAATACTAAAAATGTATGAAAATCGTATAATTCCTTCAAAAATATATCTCAAACTAGGAATTTTACTCACTATTTCTATAGATGTCTTTTCTATATATGAAAGACGAGTCATCATTTTAACTTTCAAACATGGATAATTCTGGATACACATTGATTTGGAGGCTCAAATTTCAACGTTGAGCTGTGAACACTATTACTGATTGACTTAGCTAAAAAATACCCGTTTCTGAGACTAAGGTATGAACGAACGAATGAGGCACCTGTCCCTTTAAGTCTGGTTTCCTTAATAACAATCTAAAGATTTGAATATATTGAAAAACAACAAATCTTGTAAAAATACATTCTCCTCTAGTTCTTTGTGAAACGGTATTGTCCCAGAAAAATTGTCCACATTGATATAATTAATTTCTGGGTTGAAACCACACATACAAATTCTCCCCTGTCCATATTGTTTGGTAACCATGGCAACATGATTTTGAGCATCATTATACTTGGCCAGTATTTGATCTGAAGTTTCAGTATTAAATGAGTAATAAGTATCACGATAACACAGGGGAATTTTTTGAGCAAAATTTTTACCACCGAGTTCAACTTCTATCAACTTCAGTCCACCACCATCGTCTAAGTTGTTGTTGGTTTTAGCTAAAAACATAACAAAAAAGAGTGAAATAATTATGAAATTGGTTTTAGCTGAAAAACACCGGCACCAGTTTCTGGTAAAAAATATACCATACTATTAGAGGGATGATATTTGTTTTTACCTGAAACTGGTGTGTCCTGTAGCTATATGTATCTATCTATATTCAATAAAATAATTAGACTTAAAAACCTCACGAGTAAACATTACCCAAATCATGTCACACTTAATTTCTAATACAACCAACAAGTGGCAATAGTCTTATTCTCAATGATACATCTTGGCTAAATTTAATTGTAGGGGAATCGCATGTCAAATTTTAATTCTGAAAAGTATACAGATGTCTTAAATTAACCTCTATCAGATGGCAATACAAATATTCCTTAAATGGCCCTTACCAACAAACTGTTGTGTGATGGGAAATACTGATGAACTTTGACCCATAGTCAATAACCTTCCACCATTATTAACAAATGATTTTAAACTATCGCTTGATTTCAACCAATCAGATTCTTCAGAATTATCACTAATAACAACCAGTTTACAATAAGTCTGCCAATCATCTACAAATATAAACAGAATTATTTTGATTTTAAGAGGTATAAATAAACCAAGTACTACAATCCAAACTGAAAAACAAACCCGAAATCCAAAATAACAATTTGGCGAAAAATTGGTAGAAGCTTATGATAACTTATTGAAAAGTGGTATACATACTTACGATTAATATACTTCCTAATATGGAAATTCACTAGCTGCTACTAATGGAATGCTCAACTATTATTTTGAATTTCGAGTTCTGTTCTGAAGTTTGGATCGTTAGAACTTGGATAATCTATATATTTTCATTTATGATTGATATACTTTTATTTTGTATCTCTAACATTAGTATCGGTACTTATTTCTGATAACTTACCATTTTGTATATCGTGTAAATTAAGATATTTAACGGTATATTGAGTCGTATCTATTAAAGATAAAAATATTTCCATCAATAACAAACTACTCGAGGTTTTATCATGTCCACCATTTCTTATTATGTAGATCACATGACTTGGTATTGGTCGTAAACTATAATAGGTACTGTTATTTTCTATTATTTCTTCACTACCTTCACCTGCAAAATAATAATAAAAAAAATAACTAAGAAATTAAGAACAGAGTGTCAAACATCTGAAATAAGCCATCATCCCCTGATGCTTGACAACCACATCTTTGACATGAACTCATTTAATATTTTCTTTCTTTCCCTCCATCAAAAATTATAATAAAAAATATGAATTTACTTACATTTTAATCTGAAGTTCCAGTTATCTTTGAATTCTAAAATTTCAGCCTTAAAATGTTTTTTATCTCTGAGAGAATTCACCATAATTTGTTGTCCAGGTTGAAATAGATGATGTTCACAAAACTCAGAAAACAATTCAGATTGTCTCTTCTTCAAATTCTCTTCTAAATTGAAACAGATCTGAGCGAAAAGTTTCTCTCTGCTGACATATTTCCCATGCAGTTCACATCTGATGCTGGTTGCTAAGCGACTGAGTCCTGGTTCTCCCCAAATATCAGAATTCACATTTAAACCAATTCCTAGAATGGCCAGGTGTTTTAAGGGAATAGATCCTGCAATTTAAAACAAAAGATTATCAACTGGACATTTTTGATAATAAATTACTAAATATTTCCATTTAAATATTTTCATGTGTTTATCTAAGGTCTTTTGCGATAGTGATATTTACGTCATTAAACGTCATTTAGTAGAAACACAGGAACAACAGACGTCTGATTGAAAATTCGAATAGTGAAAATTGATGCTATCAGTGTTCCTTAAACACATAAAATTTCTAGAAACTTCTTTACAAAGGAAATACATGGACTAAATACAAAATGTACTGCTGGTGTTTATGTATTTGAACTGGGCCTGGATGAGTCCAAATATCTTTGCTTGAGAATAACTATTAGTTACTTATTATTATCTTCTCTTTTTCTATTTTATTATAAAAGATCATCAAGATCAGATCCTGAGTATCTACTGATAGACCTGTCTTACATTCTACCCCTTTCAAAACAAAAACTCTTTCGTACTTACCATCAATATCAAACATAACCTCTTCTAATAAAAAGCCAGCCAGTTTGTGTCCTCGTATCCACAAATCATTCGGGTATTTAGTTTTAACATTATCAATACCAAGATCTTTAACAGCCTTGAGAACAGCTAACGAGGCTGCTACTTCTGTTGTAAATCTTGAGATATAGCCCTGAACAATTAGAAAAATATAGTTAATAATCTTCCATATCAGAGTTCAATTTTTATTGAGTCCATTATATTGTACAAACTGTTCTAAACCAATCAGGGTAAACACAATCTCTTGATTAAAAATTAACAAACCAATCACCATCAGAGCATATAAAAGTCACAATCAAAATTCCTTTTTCCTTCTTCACAATAATTAAAATTCTGTAGCCTGTATTATCCAGGCTGTAAATCCGCAATTTGGTACCCTTTCTTTCAGGGATGTTTTTAAACGATTGTTTTTTTATAATATATTACCTGTTCTAACTTTGTCTTGTGTAAAATAATAGAGACAAATATATTTCCAGTATGAAGGGCACTCCATTTATTATTTTTAGCTCCTCTAGCATTGGTTTGAACCTCAGCCATTATGGCAGTCCCATGGTCAGAACCTAGAACATACAAATTACCTAATAAAATACAAAACTGGATACAAATTGTCTTTATGATATAGCATCTTGGAATAACATAATTCATGGTCACAGGTTAGATTTGTTCACCATGATAAGATAAGGGTATGTCTGATCTATGTCTGAAGATGAACGGTCTGAAGTAATACCTGAAAAAATTGTTAGCATAAATGTTAAAAAACGGCCCAAGTCATCTCGTTTTACGGTACATAAGAACACTTTATGGATAGTCTACTCTTTTGTTTGATTTTAACAACGTTTCAATTCACATACAGGAATCTTTATCAAGCTTTAAATACTGATTTATGTTTGATAAGAATTTATCTATTAGGTATTGTTGTATGTTTGATAAAGATTCCTGTATTTGAATTGAAACTTTGCTAAATTTAAACAAAAGAGTAGACATACTATCCATAATCAATAATAATAATATTAATTGAAATATAAAAGACATGAGATGAAAAACTCTTCTATTAACAAAAAAACAATGTAAAACACATTTGACAATTTGAGGACAAGTTTCAATAAATTCTGTAAAGGGAATGGATGGATATTAAACAATATCTATACCATTGCTAAAAATTCATATCTAAAACTTTTATAAAACGTAATTATATCAAATTCATACTATGTATTCAGAATTTGACATATTTTAGTAGACCACCTGATTAAAATTTGAATTTTGAATAAATGTAAACTAGGTAAGACGTCATGAATATTCTAAATAATGTCTTTACTGTTGTTTTATCTGGTCACATGATTATGTTAATGTGAAGTTTATAAAACAACCTTGACTGTAATTTGAGAGGTAGAAAAATACGATAAGGGGAAAACTGTCAATAAGAAATTTGTGTCTTTTACAATATATCAAACAATTGAAAAAAAAAACACTATTAAAGGGACAGATGCACCATTTTTTTGGCCAATTGTAACTTAGTCTTAGAAACTTAGGAATTTTTTTTAACTAATCCTATCAGTTATAGTTTTCATAGCTAACCGTCGAAATTTCAGCCTTCAAAACCACGTGTGTCTAGAATTATCACGTTTGAATGTGAAAAAAGAAATATAGAAATAGTAAGTAAGTTACTAGTTTGAAGTATTTTTAAAGGAATTTTGTGGTTTTGTACATTTCTAGTACTTCTGAAGACTATTTACATATATTCAAGACTCAATCAATCTCCAAAAATGGAGCACCTGTCACTTCAATCCGAAATGAAAAACATTACAAGTTTGGTTCGAATTAAAAACTATGAAAAGAAAATGTTGAAGTTATTCTCTCTGAGATAATACTGTCAGTCAAGAAATAGGGGACTATAATTAAGGGGGTTTTGTTCAACTATTTATTGCAGAGCTAAATGTAGAGCAATAATATGCATTCCTGTACAATAATCTTAAATAATCTTATATACAATACAATACGACAACTTAGATCAAAAAGTATTTCTTTTGAGCACAATCCAGTCCCGTCATTAGGGTGGGGTCCGTGGGGGCTGGGCCCCAGAAGGTGAGAATTAAGCCCCAGCAAAACCTTCTTTAGTTCAACAGAGATTGATTCATTAAAGTTTCTTTGTACAAAATCAAAAAGATATAGATTTTGATATGTTTTTGGCACCTCAAAATTGTCAGAAATGAGTTCTCTGGGCCTTTAAGTCTTCAAATTTTCTAAGTACAAAATCTGAGCCCCTGCACCCATTGATTCCTGGCAACGAGGCTAGCAATCCCTCCATCTTATCAGCCATTTTACAGTTCTAGTCAGACATGCCTGGTGACATTAATGTCACATTTTATATTGGCATACCCCTCTGTTAATTTTTTTGTGCTGATATGCTTATTCCTGTTTATATAATTAGTAATTCTATAAATCATGCCCCTCCCCCTCCAAAAATAAAACCAAAATCCCCACTTACCATTCAAGCCCAGTTCTTTAGCATCATCCATTGTTGTAGTTGTGCATTCTTTATAAAATAATTTCTTGCCAATTTCACAAGCTTTATTCAGTTGTTGAAAATTGTCTACACCAAACGACATGTCGGCCATTGTGGTAAGTTATATATAGGGAAGTGAACAGCAAGTGACAGTTGATATAAATCACGTTTTTAAACTCATCTTTTAATGTTCATTCGTCTTCTTTTTTACAACTTGACCTTCTAAACACTATTTTGTTTACAAGCTGTGTACATTTTTTAGCATCATAATTAAATACGCAAATCAAATCACATAGTTTCTATTATCTGAATTCACGGTCAATCAAAATAAAATATCACACAGGGAATTGAAAAATTCATTTTTTGTATAAAAACTATTCAGAAATTTTACAGGAAGTATTTTTTCGTTTCGTTTTTGTTCTAACCGGAAGTGATAAATCTGTACTAAATTTTCGCGGGAATTGATTTGTTTATTTCCGCGAAATCGAAGACATAGTTGATGTAATTTCTATTTATGTAATGAAATCTAACTGATTTATTTAACTAACCTTTACAGTTTGCGTAGTTGGGCATTTATTTTGATTCACGATATCGTTATTATTGCTGTTCATTTCAAATTTTACAACTGCCTTGCGACTGAGTTGTTTCACCCCATGGCCCGTGAATGGTTTCCTCTTAATTATGAGCTTAGGGTACGTCAAGAACCATAGTTTAATATAATGACATAAACTCATATTTTGTTTATTTTTAACAAAAACTTAATGTTATATAGGAATAATAAGTCATGTTGTGTAGGCTTACTCTACACTACTCTACAGTCAGTGGTCTCCAAATCAATTACATTAATAATTCATCCCTATTTTCTCAAATAGATGCTGTTAATTCCTTTTACTGAAATGACATCAAATAATTGATCAAAGATTAACAGGTTTTTGATTAGTTTATTATAAGTTAATTAGGAGAGGAAACCAGGATTAAAAAAGGGGGAACCACTACATACACAACCTCAAATCACCCCACAATTTAATCATCATCTCTTAGTTAATATGAACAATATGGTCGTAATTCAATGATTATTTACTTAATTGGAGTCCATGATTATAAGTAGGTACAGTAGAGCCAACCATATCAGCATCCGCTGGAAGCGAACATCAATTTGTCATCTACCTACCAACCAACCAAAATAGCAGGGAGTCTGAATTTATGGGAAGGCTTACACTTATTGTCTTATGCCAATTATTTAGCTTTGACCTTGTACGAAAATAAAGGAAAGGGTTTTGGCAAAGGGTTTCTTGTTGTGTAGGGCATGAAGCAGTCAGTATACAGGTTTGCCAAATCTTGGATAAAGTAAGAAGTTTAAAAACTCTTAATAAAACTTGATTAACAGTTGTAATATTACTAAGTTATACTGTCAAAGTTTATATCATTCATTTTTTTTCCCAGAAATATCAATTGGGATGAATGATTAGAATTGATAACACTAAGTTTAATTTAAATACACACCATGGATAAAAGAAAACCACAGGGAAGTAATTCTACACCAGCCAAGAAAGGGAAGTAAGTAGAACTTGGTAAAATCTTGAGCCTTATTAAATACAGTCCTATCTAATAAATGATCTTTGTTGTGTTATATGCAAAAACTTGAAAAATCAGATGATACTGAAGAGTATCCAAGTGCTGCTGAAGAGATGAAAACAAATACTATTAACTTGAGTAGGAAATACTACTAGGGATACTAGCTGAAAAAGTCCAGTTGTCTTTAGATTCTTTATCAAACTTAGGTTGGACCACTGAATGAATTGGTTCAGAACATGTTTGTAGATCTCGGCCAGATTGCAGACATTAAATAAAAACAACAATTAGACACTGTTGAAATCATACAGAGATGACTTACTCTAGTCTTCTTTTGTAAAGTCTCAATAATGGGTAGAAAATATTTATGATTAATTTTGAAAATTTTGTAATGAATCTGACTTACCCCATGTTGACTGAAAAATTGGTAAATTATTCTTCTCTTAGATTTGATGATGATGATGAAGATCCGTCTGTATTTGAAGCTGAACTGGCCATGATGGAATCTATTGATGCTGATATAACAGCTGATTCTCACGAACTTGTTGGTAGGAACATTTTCATATTAAACAAGTTGATGTCATGAAGTAACATAATTTCTCTTATCTAAAGAAAAAATTTTATGGAATTATTTTCATTTGTGAAATTGTTAACTCTTGATCAATTTTAAATTGAATTGCAAATGTGGCTTTTTTGACAAACAATTTGTGATGGAATGCCACTTAAATTAGACCCTGATGACAGGGGAGTTTATTAAACTAAACTTTGAAGACAATCTCGTCTCAAACTGACCTCAATATATCAACAGAAATTTTGATAACTATTCAAAGTGCAACGTTTTGTTTGATAATAGTGTCTTACAAGATTATGTTCATTCTTGACTTTGTTAAAAAGTAATATTGAATTACAGGTCAAGGTCCAGAATCTCAGAAGACCAGTTCTAAATGGTCACGTCCATCACCACCTAAAATAAACTCTAAAACAGATAAACTGGTATTTCAACAGATAGAAGTTGATGTTTATATTGGTATGTAGTAAGGGTTTTCTTATTTGTATTTGTTTTTTTTTTTAAACATCTGGTCCCATTAGCCCACATGGTGCAGAAAACTAGGACGTAAAACTCCATTCATTTCATTTTATTTCAAACAGCTGGGGTATTATTGTTGAAACTTGATTTAAGATGATTTTAGAGTTTTAAACATCTGATTGGTCAATAACTAAAATCAATTAAAACTTCTCAATCCACTTAAATTACTGTATTTCTTCAAATGTAGATTTTAATTTCGTTAATTTTTTTGACTGTTAGGCCCCATGATTTCTCAAGACTTTGTTATTGATTACACTACAAGTCTGAACTGTAGTGAACTCCTCAAACAAGAAGTATCATCAGGTGTTTCCTAAACAGTAAGGATGGTCTGCTGGATATGTGTTATTTTGTATATTGAGCATCCAAACTACCTCCTGGTATATGAATTTAATTGCAGGTAAACATATAGAGGGAATGCCTGGTGCCAAGGTTGGTCCAGTACCTATTATTAGAATGTATGGTATTACAATGGAAGGGAATAGTGTATTAACTCATATTCATGGTTTTCATCCTTATTTCTACGTCCCAGCTCAGCCTGATTTTAAACCTGAACACTGTGGTAAATTTAAGGTAGAATTTTATTATATTTTTTGCCAACAATTATATGGTAGTCTGACACTGACATTAAAAATTATTTTTGATGAAAAAAGTGTTCATTCTTAAAGATGGGTATCCTTACTTTTCAATGTCAAATGAAGCAAACTATTTGATTAATTGGTGTTCTAATGAATTATCATGTATTCTTAATCATATCATTATGTTCTTATTGCATATAATTGAAGGTTTTAACCAATCATAAATGTCCATGTATGCACAGTCTGGATAAACAAAGAAAGACTTTTTGATCTTTCTTGATCGGTCACTCATTGGAATTCTGCTGGCAATTCTCATTTAATTTAGCTAGTTATGAATTAATTATAGACAAGTGAGACAAACTGGTATTTTCCAAGTCATTAGAACACCTCTACTTTCTATTTATATAAGTATTAGCATTTTCATTTTCATAAATGAAAATAAGGGAACCCATCTTTAAGGTCTACAATGCAGATATGAAAATAAGGGAACCCATCTTTAAGGTCTACAATGCAGATATGAAAATAAGGGAACCCATCTTTAAGGTCTACAATGTAGATATGAAAATAAGGGAACCCATCTTTAAGGTCTACAATGCAGATATGAAAATAAGGGAACCCATCTTTAAGGTCTACAATGTAGATATGAAAATAAGGGAACCCATCTTTAAGGTATACAATGTAGAAATTGTGTCTCTATGAGTTGATCTCTAAATTCATAAATCTCTTTCCTAGTACTCAAGATCTACAAAGCTGATGTACATGATGTAAGAACCTCTCTTAAGAACTATAAATGGGATTTCTACTCAAATCTTTTTCAAGATGGAAGAGCCAAATTGATAATTATCAAGGCTGTCCCCAGGCAGACAAGACAGAAAAAGGAAATGCATATATTAAGCTATATAAAAACTTGTTTGAAATATATTATTATTATTATAGAATGTTCTAGATAACTGTGTTATTAAAGATCTTAGATCTAATAAAGAAGGTATTGTAGAAGCAGTCATGGCTGTAGAATATGTTCAGAGAGAAAGTAAGTTATTATTTGGAGAAAAGATTTGGTGGAAAGTCCTGGAAAGCTTACTTTAAACTCGCCAGACATGGCACTGGCATATATTAGAGAGCTTGTACCCATGACATATTATCACCTCATTGTGATATAGTATATACCCCTAGGAAGTAGTTGTTATCAAATTATATCACACAATATTAACATCTATATACTTTAATTTATATGATGTTTTATTTACACTCAGTATTCAAAGAGTTTAGGAACTTTCCAAGTATGCCTGATAATGACCCATTGTCAATTTTAGGTATTTATGGTTACCATGGCAACAGAAAATTACCATTCCTGAAAATAACTATGGCATTACCTAGATTGATAGCGCCAGCTAAACGTCTGTTAGAACAAGGTTTTCAGTGCCCTGGTTATCCTACTCACGGCTATCAAGCCTATGAGAGTAATATAGATTTTGAAATAAGGTATGAAATGAAATAAATGAAGTTTTACATCCTACTTTTCTGCACCTTGTGGTCTAATGAAGACGGGCAACGCCATGCAGGGTACAATGAGGGAAATTTTGCCAGGACAGTGGCATTAGCCTGCTCTTTTTTGATGTCCAAATAGCTAGTGAATTGAAAAAGTTATGATTAAAATTTTCAGATTTATGGTTGATGCCCATGTAGTAGGATGTAACTGGGTTGAAATGCCTGCTGGGAAATACACATTACGTGATAAAAACTCTAAAGATCGCCCCTTCACGTCCCGTTGTCAGATAGAATTAGATGTATCATGGGAAGAGTTTATATCTCATCCTGCCGAGGGAGAATGGTCTGTCGTGGCTCCGTTTAGAATTCTCAGTTTTGATATTGAATGTGCTGGAAGAAAGGGTATGTAGTTTACTAGATTAGATAAGATCAATCAAGTTTTCATTTGCCCTGGACACTGTATCTTGCCTTTACACATTTACTTGTACAACTAGACTAATTAGGAAAGATAACTTTGTCACAAGGCTGTCACTCGCTGATCTGTGGTGGGGTTGTCCTGCAATGTTTAAACCTGTTAGCAGCTAGTATGTAATCGTCAATCTAGTATAAAGTTTTGATTGTGTTTTATCTGTAGGTATATTCCCAGAGGCTGAAAAAGATCAAGTTATTCAGATAGCTAATATGGTACAAAGACAAGGTGATCCAGACCCATTCATTAGAAATATCTTTACGTTAAATTCGTGTTCACCTGTTGTAGGGTCACAGGTCATGTCGTTTGACAAAGAGTCAGACGTCTTACAGGTCAGTAGGTGGTCAATTTATAAACATTATCTATCACCTTGTTTTCAAGAGGACAATTTTCAATACAAAAGAGTAAACTAATGCCACTGTTTTGGCAAAATTTCCCTAATTGCACACTGCATGACTTGAGACACAAAAGCAAATCTGTAAACGCTGTAAAAATGCAAACAATGAGTTTGAGAGTAATAATCTAGATAAGATTTTAAAATTTCCATCCTTCACTTGTTAATAATTCTGGCTATCTATAAAAAAGTTACAGGAAAATACAGATATTTCAGACTTATTGTCTTCGTACATTCGCTGATATTTCCAATGATTAATCTTATGAAAATTGAAATCAGCTTCACAATAGTACTGTTTGAGGCACTTTTGGTTGAAATTTCTTGGAGGGAAGGTTGTTGCTATACAGAGTTTAATATAAAAAATGTTTCTATTTTTTAATTCTTTGTTTTATTTTTTTCTAGAAATGGGCTGAGTTTGTACGAGAAGTTGATCCTGATATAATAACAGGTTATAATATACAGAACTTTGATTTTCCCTACTTGATTAATCGTGCTGCTCATCTGAAAGTGAGAGATTTCACGTTTTTAGGTCGTATTAAAGATAAACAGTCTATTATTAAAGAAATGACGATACAATCCAAACAGATGGGAAAACGAGAGAATAAAGTCATCAATATTGAAGGCAGAGTACAGTTTGATTTACTTCAGGTAAGTTCTACTTCTTAATTATTACATAAAGTTAATTATAAAGGATAGATATTTCTAGTATTGCTCTCTATAAAACTAGTATTTCACAACTCATCTACTATACTAGAGCTTGTTCTATTTATGATGATTTCCTAGTTAGAGGTCGAGTATTAACTTTGAAATTACTGAAACAAAGTTACTTGACCCACAAACTTCATGTAGGAAATTTTATGATCGTTATAGAGAACTCCTTGATAAATACAATAAATCTGTTTCTGGCATTTTGGCTGATTTGTTTGATCAGGCATGTATTGTATGGTGGTGTATCTATATAGAAGTGACAAGTGTTGCACGCGTGTTTTCTATACACCTGAAATTTTTTACATTTTGATATTATATTATAGATTTTATTACGTGATTATAAGTTAAGATCCTATACACTGAATGCTGTTTCATTCCATTTTCTACACGAACAGAAAGAAGATGTTCAACATTCTATCATTACTGATTTACAGGTTCATTATTTCTTTTCTCTTGAATTAATTTCTTACTTTTAAAAAAAACACAAAAGGAAAAGAATATATTATGGTTTATCTCTGTTAATTACTGCTATCTTTCTTTTCCCCTTGCTATATTCGTATGTTAACCCCTAGGGTTGGGCGATATATGATAGTTATCATGATATAGTGTTCAATCTTTGTCCAGATAAAATCATCTATGCAATTTTAACAAGTAACTTTGTTCTTTTTTCTTAAATTTAAAATTTTAACATACAAAAACATCATTTTGTTTCATTAACCAGTGAAAAACCATGTTTGAAATATTGTGATATCTACTTAAATTAATATTGCCAGCCTCATGTACCCCTTCTTTTATTTCACCTGATAATTATTATAATTTTAGAAAGGTAATGAACAGACTAGACGTAGATTAGCTGTATATTGTTTAAAAGATGCTATATTACCGTTAAGACTACTGGGTAAATTGATGTGTGTTATAAACTATATGGAAATGGCACGTGTAACAGGTGTTTCTATGGGTTGTTTACTCTCTAGAGGACAACAGATTAAAGTTGTCTCCCAGTTACTTAGAAAGGTTTGTTATTTTTAACATTTTATTGTCTTAAAGACCTTTTAAAGGGACAGATTCAATATTTCCGGGGTTTATTTGGGCCTTGAATATATGTAAATAGTCTTCAGCAGTAGTAGCAAAAACCTTTCTTCAAACACCAGCTTGATATAAAACTTATGTCTTTTTAACCTATTTCTTATGGTTCACAACTACCCAGATTGTAAAGAGATTTTCTAAAAAAAAAAATTATGTGTATCACGGACACTGATAGCATCAATTTAAACTATTCTAATTTTCAATCAGGCGTCTGTGGTTCCTGTAATTCCACTAAATTAAGGGTTTGATGATGATCCTAATTGCAAGGTTTTGTTTTATCACATATATTAAAGATTTTATTGACTATCTGTAGGCTAAAGAACAAGATTTAATTCTACCAGTCCATAAAGTAGATACAGGAGATGAATATGAAGGAGCTACTGTTATAGAACCTGATAAAGGGTAATTTATGTATTCTTTTGTTAGTTAATAACATTGTTTACACCATTGCACATTGCAAGGAATTGTCTGGCCACATCAGTCAAATAAGGTGTAAAATATTAGGGTTCAGCTAGTAAAATATATATTAGTTTCTCCTGTATCAATTTAAATTTACCACTTAAATTAATGAACTGTATATTTTTACATTCCATATATTTTTCAATGCCCTTTGATAATTTGAATGTATGGGTTAATTTTTGTAAATTTTCTGATTGTGTTTTTCAGATATTATTCTATGCCTATAGCTACCTTGGATTTCGCCTCTCTGTATCCTAGTATCATGATGGCCCACAATCTCTGTTATACCTCTCTACTTAATACTAATACTATACAGAAAGAGGGGTAAGATATTATTTTATTCAACTTGGGCCTTGTGGATACCTCAGTCTCCTAGACCAGTGATTCCCAACCTTTTTCAGTCAGGAGCAATCGTCCAGACCTTTCACATTCCCAAAAAATTGTTTCATCCATATTTCCAGCATGTGATGATGTTAGGTGCTCTCTCAACTCAAAATAAATTCTTCTCCTACACAAGTTGGCCACACCCCTGACACCCTAGTCCCATACCCCCAGGAGGTGAAAACACCCTTGGTTGGGAACCGGGGTCCTAGACAGTTGACCAAGCTTTTTTTTGTTACAGAATCAAACTGATTGAAATAACATTCTATAGTAATTAATTATTGTTATCTTCACAATGTCAAGCTATTACAACCTTCAGCTTATACCTTGACAGCAATAGTCACCTGTCTTGTATTACCTCAGTTTATAAATGTAGTTATTTGATTGGGTTTGTCTCTGAATTGTCTTTCAGATTGACAGCTGACCAGTATATTAAAACACCATCAGGAAACTATTTCTGTAAATCAACTGTTAGAAAAGGTTTACTTCCAGAAATATTAGAATCTCTTCTTGGCGCTAGAAAAAAGTGAGTTATGATCCACTGTGTTAGAGAGTTTAAGGGATTGTAAAGAGATTTGTAAAGTTTTTATGTGTATCAAACCGTTTATTGCTTATATTCGCATCATTCCAACTTTTTGTCAGAAGTCTGTGGTTCCTGTAATTATAGGAAGGATTAGTTATAGTGGAATTGTAAGACTCACAGACATCTGATTGAATATTGAAATGGTGTAATTCAGTGTTATCAGTGTCCCATTACATATACAAGTCTAAAAACTTCTCTGCATTCCTTTTAACCTCATGATGATGTTTGTCTCAATTGTGAAAAGCAGCTCTGAAGGTAGATCAATGACAAGAGGATTGACAGAGGACTAGCTGATATAAAGTATCCTCATGAACCTGTTATTCTTTTATGAGACATTTAGCTTCTAATATCAGACAATTCCGGCAAATATTCCCAAATCAACATCCTTCAAGATTAACTACTGAAATAAAATATTGAACCTGAATTCTTTTTCAGAGCTAAGGCAGATTTAAAGAAAGAAACAGATCCGTTTAAAAAACAAGTGTTAGATGGTCGTCAGTTGGCATTAAAGATTAGTGCTAATTCTGTTTATGGTTTTACAGGAGCTCAAGTTGGTAAACTACCTTGTTTAGAAATATCTCAGGTCAGTTTATAAATTTGATTGTTTTAACGTAAAGTTAAAGTTAAATTCTCTATTTTTCAGATCAGAAGAGCAGTTCAAATATCCAAAAATCGGATTTTAACTGATGAAAATTTTGTATTTATAACCATGTATGATATTGTCTATATATTGTCTATATATTGTCTATATTAATGTTGAATATATTTGGTAAAAGTATTTGTGTTATGTATTCTGTGATGTGTGTTGTATATTTGTGTGATATATTTGTGTGTTGTATATTTGTGTGTTGTATATTTATGTGTTGTATATTTATGTGTTGTATATTTGTGTGATATATTTGTGTGTTGTATATTTTTTAGAGTGTAACAGTGTTTGGTACAAGTATTTGTGTGTTGTATATATGTGTGTTGTATATATGTGTTATAATTGTGTTGTATATTTTTAGAGTGTAACAGTGTTTGGTAGAAGTATTTGTGTGTTGTATATATGTGTATTGTATATATGTGTTATTGTGTTGTATATTTTTAGAGTGTAACAGCGTTTGGTAGAAGTATTTGTGTATTGTATATATGTGTTATAATTGTGTTGTATATTTTTAGAGTGTAACAGTGTTTGGTAGAAGTATTTGTGTATTGTATATATGTGTTATAATTGTGTTGTATATTTTTAGAGTGTAACAGTGTTTGGTAGAAGTATTTGTGTATTGTATATATGTGTTATAATTGTGTTGTATATTTTTAGAGTGTAACAGTGTTTGGTAGAAGTATTTGTGTATTGTATATATGTGTTATAATTGTGTTGTATATTTTTAGAGTGTAACAGCGTTTGGTAGAAGTATGATAGAACAAACTAAACAATATGTAGAAGAACATTATACTATAGAGAATGGATATAAACATAACGCTAAGGTAGGGTATAGTTGATTTTATAATAGATTAGAACTTTCTTCAACCTTACACAAGAATATCTTGACAGATAATTTTGCTTGTGAGACTTGAAATATTCAGCAAAATCCTTCAATTAAACGGCATGAATATTACAGAGTTCAGATATAACTAGGTTGTTTATTAATACTGGGCCTAGTTTCTGATAATCTACAGTGTCTCACACACAACATATTTCACTTTCTTATTTTGAATTAAAAACGTTAATTATCAACTAGGTGATAATTTAACAAATTTTTGATTAAAAACTTTTTAAGTACATATAACCAGTCTCCATCTTGTAAAGAACGGTGGAAAAAGTTTTTTTAAATCAAAAGTACAGGAATTATCACCTTATTTTCACCGATGTGAAATATATAGTATGAGAGCCACTGTAATAATTAAGGAAGTGTACACAGGTTTTTTTCTGTTTATACATCGATAAACTGAAAAAATGTTCAGGTCCTTCCTTATAATTAAATCAACTCGAATACTTGTTTAAATATTTATCTAAAATAGCAACAAACTAAGGCACAAAATTGGCGCATAAATACCTAATATTTTAACATAGTGTTAATGAACTGATACTAACAATAGAGATGTCCAAGAGAACAGCTAATCAGCAATAAGTTGGTGACCTATTTATAGTCTACTGCTTGAAAGTTGACGGAGCGGCCACATTTAAAGTTCAATTATTGAAAGATGAGATTGATATAAGTCCAAAAATCATGATTTTGTTGATATTAAGAGTATGCACATTCGAGGGAATTCGGAAAATACCGTAATCATTCCGTGAAGTGTGACGGCTCTGGTGACCTTCGAAGGAACGACATCGACGCTGTGTAGTGGCCACGTCAATCAAACTCAATGATAAAAATAGATATAAACTGGATTCATGTGACCGCTGTTATCCAATCAAATTGCGTGATACCAGTTAAACGGAATCGTGATTTAATTATTCCCAGTTGCCTTTAAACTGTCCATTGTAACATTGTATTATTATATTAAAGGTTATCTATGGTGATACAGATTCTGTAATGTGTAGATTTGGAGTAGAAACTGTAGCTGAAGCCATGGAACTAGGAACAGAAGCGGCTCAACTCATCTCTGAAAAATTCATTAAACCAATAAAATTAGAATTTGAAAAGGTAGGTTATATTATGAAATAATAAGACAAGTTAATTTGAAACAAGTTTATTTTTGACCAATAGTTTTAAGATTTATTATTTTTTGACCAATAGTTATCTGGGGTTTGTTTGTAGGGTAATGCTAAGGTTAACTTTATATTTTTATATTGGTCTTATTTTTTATATCCATGATCATTGCTTACTATCTAGAACTCTTGAACTATAAAATGTTTTGAGCTGGTGGAAATCAGAAAAATACACCCCCCTCTAGGATGGCAATCATTTTTTATTTATATGGGTCATTGTTCTAAAAAAAAAACTTAGTGATGAAGATCTTTTTTTTTTTTTTAATGTTCTTCTGGTGGATGGGGAGGTTCACTCAAACATAAGTGGGGTAAGAATTCACAATAATAGTTAATTGTGTCAGTCAGTGGATTAAATAATTTCATGTAAATGATATTTTATGCTACGTTTCGACGTGTTTTGGGGAAAACACCTTGAAACATTGCATTGAACTTTAACCAGTGGATGTTGTTCTATAAATATCTCTATATTGTATTCACAATTGCTAAATGCCATTTAAAGACTGTAAATGATATTTATTATCCCTGGTAATTATCAATAAAAAATCATTAAAGAGAAAGGTAGAACCAGCCTGAAACAAACAATCTTTCTCATGATATAAAGATATTTATTTTCTATGGATCTATCAGAAAGATATACTTAAAAAATTACCCTATATAAAGATGATTCTTTTCAATACGAAATACTTACTCACTAATGATTGATATACTTCCTCATAAGAAAAGTTCATTAACTGCTACTAATGTTTCGCCAATATGTTGTTTAGGACTTCGGGTTTCAGATGGTTAGTACTTGGTTTATTTATTCTTAGTACTTGATATTATAATATTTTGTTTCTATCTAGGTATATTTCCCGTATCTACTGATCAATAAGAAACGTTATGCTGGGCTATATTGGACGAATTCTATTAAACATGATAAGATGGATTGTAAAGGTATTGAAACAGTCAGGAGAGATAACTCTCCACTAGTCGCTAATCTTATTAATGCCTGCCTACAGTTAATTCTTATAGATAGGTAGGGAAATTATTTATTGTTATATCGTTTGGGTTGTGGAGGGAATATTTTAAAAAACGTGCCCAATATGTGTTTGTATGACATACTACCATTCAAGGCTACTTGGACATTATTTAAGGTTTCTAGGGTTGAGTTAAAGGCCTCTGTTAGGTGTAGGTTTATGCTGCCATCGTGATTTTTCCCTTTCAGGAATCCTGAAGGGGCAGTAGAACATGCTAAAGAAACAATTAGTGATTTACTGTGTAATAGAGTTGATATATCACAGTTAGTTATAACTAAAGAATTAACCAAGACAGAGGATGATTATACTGCTAAACAGGCTCATGTAGAACTGGCAAATAGAATGAAGAAACGAGATGCTGGCAGTGCACCACAACTTGGTGATCGAGTACCTTACGTTATCATAGCAGCTCCTAAAAAAACAGCAGCATATCTTAAATCTGAGGTAGGTTAAATAATAGAAGACAAGACTATTATCATTAGGGATCATAAAATGATAGACTGATAACAGCAATTTGCACTCTCAATTGAACTCCCAAAAATGTATTAATGTATATTACAGGATCCTATTTATGTACTACAGAACAATGTCTAAGTAATTGTTGATATTAATGTATATTACAGGATCCTATCTATGTACTACAGAACAATGTTTAAGTAATTGTTGATATTAATGTATATTACAGGATCCTATTTATGTACTACAGAACAATGTTTAAGTAATTGTTGATATTAATGTATATTACAGGATCCTATCTATGTACTAGAGAACAATGTTTAAGTAATTGTTGATATTAATGTATATTACAGGATCCTATTTATATACTAGAGAACAATGTTTAAGTAATTGTTGATATTAATGTATATTACAGGATCCTATCTATGTACTAGAGAACAATGTTTAAGTAATTGTTGATATTAATGTATATTACAGGATCCTATCTATGTGCTAGAGAACAATGTTTAAGTAATTGTTGATATTGATGTATATTACAGGATCCTATCTATGTACTAGAGAACAATGTTTAAGTAATTGTTGATATTAATGTATATTCCAGGATCCTATCTATGTACTAGAGAACAATGTTTAAGTAATTGTTGATATTGATGTATATTACAGGATCCTATCTATGTACTAGAGAACAATGTTTAAGTAATTGTTGATATTGATGTATATTACAGGATCCTATCTATGTACTAGAGAACAATGTTTAAGTAATTGTTGATATTGATGTATATTACAGGATCCTATCTATGTACTAGAGAACAATGTTTATGTAATTGTTGATATTAATGTATATTACAGGATCCTATCTATGTACTAGAGAACAATGTTTATGTAATTGTTGATATTAATGTATATTACAGGATCCTATCTATGTATTAGAGAACAATGTTTAAGTAATTGTTGATATTAATGTATATTACAGGATCCTATCTATGTACTAGAGAACAATGTTTATGTAATTGTTGATATTAATGTATATTACAGGATCCTATCTATGTACTAGAGAACAATGTTTAAGTAATTGTTGATATTAATGTATATTACAGGATCCTATCTATGTACTAGAGAACAATGCTTAAGTAATTGTTGATATTAATGTATATTACAGGATCCTATTTATGTACTACAGAACAATGTTTAAGTAATTGTTGATATTAATGTATATTACAGGATCCTATCTATGTACTAGAGAACAATATACCAATAGATACCCAGTATTATCTAGAGAACCAACTAAGTAAACCATTGTTACGTATTTTTGAACCAATTTTAGGAGAAAAAAGGGCTGAATCTGTTTTATTACGTAAGTAGTACACAACAATCTAACTTGATACATACTGATTAGTTGGAAAGTGGCAATATATGATTTTACCCATGTGAAAAGTTTATTATCTTCTACCAATGTTTCATCAATATGTTGTTTGGATTTTGGGTTTTCTATACAGTTTGTTAGTACTTGGATTTTTTTTAAAATTATTCTGCTATTGGTGATTGTAGGTGGAGATCATACAAGAACTAAGACTGTATTAACCAGTAAACTGGGAGGTTTGGCAGCTTTCACCAAGAAAAAATCAACTTGTCTTGGATGTAAAACACCTCTTGATAAAGACAGTAAGTTTGATAAATTTCACGTTTTATAACCAACTTTTATTTCTATAATATAATATAACTGAGGGATATAAAATGACAAATTTTGTGTGCTACAGGCAGTGCACGTTAAGATCCCTCCACAGTTGGAAATCGAAAAAGAGAAGGGTAATGCGCTGTCCTGGCAAAATTTCTCTCATTTTGTATGGCATTGCCTGTCTTCATTAGCCCACATGGTGCAGAAAAGTAGGACATAAAACTCATTTCATTTCATTTTTACTTGTTAATTATCAAGAATTTAGAGAATTAAAGGTGTATTTCAATAAGGAATAGTAGAATATTATATTACAATTTCATTTAGTAATTAAAGCCCTAAAAAGATATAGAACTGAATGAATATTCTGTTTTAATTTCACTCTAGATATAGCCGTGTGTAAACACTGTCAACATCTAGAGTCTTCTATCTACCAGAAAGAAATACTGCAGTTACAAGCTCTAGAGGAGAAATTCTCCAGATTATGGACTCAGTGTCAGAGATGTCAGGGAAGTTTACATGAAGATGTTTTGTGTACAAGGTGAGTAACAGATACAGCAGGACAGTTGTGTACTATTAACAGATGATTTTTCAAGTTTCAGCATTTCCCAAAGATCTTGATGGAACAAAACCAGCAAGTTAATTTACTCTTAGAATTCTTTCAATATCTTGAGTTGGATTGGTTTTTGGTTGACAGGTTTTATCTTGTTTTACTCTTATCATAAACTAACTTCCAGCTTGGAATTCATTACCAATAGCTATCAAAGAATGTTTTAAACTAGAATCTCAAAACCCATCCTTTTTAATCGTGTCTTAAACTGATCTTTTTATATTATATATTACCTGAATTTTCAATTTTCAAATTTTTGTATCAAACGAGATTGATCACATGTTTTTCCGTAGATATTTGGGCTATATAAATAAAGTATTATTATTTTCATACGCCCACATCTCTCTATGTGGACGTATATTGTCGGCACCCTTGTCCGTCCGTCCGTCAACATTTGCTTGTAAACGCTCTAAAAACTAGATGTTTTGATGAAATCAAATGAAATTCGGTATGTGTATACATATTCATAAAACGAAGATCAAGTTCGTATTTGAGCTATTTTCGACCGTTAGAAGCAGAGTTATTGCCCTTGCCCCAAAATCTTGAATATTTACCATCTGTATGCCGTGGTGGGCGTATATGGCTGTGGTCCACTATCTTTATTAAACACTGTGCTATAGATACAACAAGTTATATTGCCAGGACGTCCAGCTTAAAAAACCCAGTGAATAATTATTTAATTGATCATTCGTTAGATTGGAAGTCAGTAAATTATATAGCCTGTACTGCTATTTTATAATTGTTTATCATTCATCAGTTTTTAACATCTTGGAAATACGAGGTCAGAAATATTTATACCAAAAGAACAAGAGTAGCAACTGATGAAGGTTTACATATCTTAGATACTCGGCAAAACTTTTTGACAATAACTCTGACTGATAGATCAGTGGATAGATTAACCTTGAACCTGTTGATATTTCAGTCGAGATTGTCCTATATTTTATATGAGAAAGAAAGTACAGAAAGATTTAGATGATGAGGAGAAACTGATTCAGAGATTTGGACCAGCTACTTGGTGATATTCCTGATCATTCTGTATTCAAATAATCAGCTTATCAGTATCTTGCTGCCTATTATAGAGGCAGATATACTATCTTGTGAAAATAAGTAACTACAAGAACCCGTTCTATTGAAATCTCTTAATCCCATTAGTGCCATCTCCCCGTTATATTTATCGTGTTGATATTCCTGGTCCCTTTTCAAACCATCAATCCACCATGATACCAATATCAGATGGGGGCAAATATTGTCTTTAACTACAAATATATTGACTCAAAATACGCCTCTGAAATGAAAATAACGTCGCTTACATCAATTACTGCCATTTACGTGTAGAATTTACCTATAACAGATTTGATTTAAAAACAAAGATCTGTTCACCTCAAACTTGTTCTTGAATCTCGAATACATGACTTGTGTTTAAAGTGCTGCATTTGTATTTTTTCATAATTAAATCTAAATAATTGTTTCTGGTTTTTTGTTTTGGTCAGTGTAATAAATAACTCAAGTATGAAATAATGAGTGCAAACTAGAATTATTGAATAAATAAACAAAGTACCAAGGTAGAACCTTTCACGTTAAGCCTTATCTGACCCTACCTTGATCAGTGTGTATGAGTAGTAGTAGTGGTGGTGGTTTTCCCCTCTCCCGGTGTTATTATAATGAATAAAGGTGATATATTAAGGCTTGGAATTGATTATTGCATGTATATACGACAGGATTATGACGGGGTATATTCAGTTCTAGAATAACAACATATTGACTCGTACTCTTGTATTCTAATAGATGAGTTTCTTAGATTTTAAGCAAAGTCAAATGAAAGGATACAGTTCTCTTCCTTCTCGGAGGATCAGAATGCATCAAAATGTTGTAGTTAATGTGATATATCCGTACCAGCAAAATGAATTCTTTACCACAAATTGCCTCCAATTCCAATTCCTTTTCTTTCTCCCGGTGTTCTGGTTGTAAAGAAATATAATAGCGTAAGGTTAGGTATTGATTATTGTGTGTGTTGACAACAGAACGATTAGATAACTAAAATACAGAATAGGATAACAACCAATGATATTTTAATTCTATTTTCTAACTGTTTAGTGTGCTGGATTTCAAGCACGGATATTGGCAATTATGGATAAAAAAAATCTATCGCTTACGATCCGAAACGTAACCCGAAATAAATACAACATTTTGGCGAAACATTGGTAGCAGGTAATGAACTTTTCACAGAAGAAGTATATTATTATAAGTGAGTAAGTATTTCATAATGAAAAGTGGTATCAGGTGTCTAGAAGAGCAAGCAGGTACCAAAAGTACGATCATTGACAATTTATGGATAGATTAATGTACTTTCTTCAAAAGACAATAAATATAGCTTAATGGTTAAAAACAGTTCAATAAGTTCAAAAACGACCCGACAAATTACAGTCAAATGCTAGATAAACTTAACATTCGGCGATATATTCCTATAATTATCACACAGATCACCATAGTCATCATGAAGTAGAAACTGTAGAAAGTTTGTTTTATGCCAATGATTGTAAGTGGTGCTATTTTTAAAAATCCTCTTTCTCCCTCCCTTTTGGGTTTTTGCATGCCTATTTTGACTAATTTTTTTTTATGTCTGAAATTGCATTTTCTTTCAGATTTTATGAGATGAGAAGATATTTTCATGCGGAAGGATAATTCTAAAGTTTTGTGTGCAGTGACAGTCAAGCGGATGTTGATAAAATGTAGTGGTCAACTTACAGTTTTAATAGCTCAAGATTTTCGTGGTCATAATATATTGAATTTTTGTCCAGAAACTGAGTATTGGCCAGGCTTTCATGTGATATGTTGGAAAGTTTTCAATGATATTTCTAGAAAAAGTTTTAGAAGGTTTAATTTTGAGATGACAAATGAATTACCGGAGTGTGTCCAACTATGCTTATTTTTTAGCAATGGTTGTCTCCCTTGAACAATCTTGTAATAATACCCTGTCATTGAGGCTATGTTACACCTAGTCCGAAACGTCTGTCTTTATTCCAGCCTCTTATAGATATTTTGACAGTAGCTATCATAGGCTGGAATAGAGACAGATGTGTCAGTCTATGTTGCACCATAATCCTGTTCTATTATTTAATATTAGACAGACTTTCAATATAAATATGACATAATGATGATTATAAAGTTCAGTCGGTGCAGTGTAATGGAATTTTGAAGTCATTGGTTTGGTTACTTCAAAAACAACTGCAGTCATGGGTTGTAATCTCGGTCGACATACGGACATTTGGTGACCAAAGATGAGTCATACTTCCAGCCTATCTAGGCCGAAAGTGTGAAAAATCTCCATAAAACAAGACATAGTTTTCTTGACCCTACTCCAGCCGATAACTCTTAAAATATCCATCAGAGGTTGGAACGGTGACAGATGTTTCGGACTACAATCTACCTATCTCTAAAATGGTACACACTTGTATGTACGCTTTGATGATATGAAATTTTAAAATATCTTAAAATAAATGGGGTTTTGTTTAAGTCGGATACCCCCCGCCTCGAGAACAATTTGCATACACTTGTTAAAGTAGTACTGCCTCTTAGAATAAACATAGAATTTAAAAGTTAACCTGGTGTCATAACTATACAGCAGAATACCCAAATTATCTGATCATTCCATTCAACTGAAATTTTCAAGTTATAACACGAGGGCCTTATTCTCGAAAACTTCAAGTTATAACACCAGGGCCTTTTTCTCGAAAACTTCAAGTTATAACACCAGGGCCTTATTCTCGAAAACTTCAAGTTATAACACCAGGGCCTTTTTCTCGAAAACTTCAAGTTATAACACCAGGGCCTTTTTCTCGAAAACTTCAAGTTATAACACCAGGGCCTTTTTCTCGAAAACTTCAAGTTATAACACCAGGGCCTTTTTCTCGAAAACTTCAAGTTATAACACCAGGGCCTTTTTCTCGAAAACTTCAAGTTATAACACCAGGGCTTTATTCTCGAAAACTTCAAGTTATAACACCAGGGCCTTTTTCTCGAAAACTTCAAGTTATAACACCAGGGCCTTTTTCTCGAAACTTCAAGTTATAATACCAGGTAAGGTCACAGATAAATATAAACACTTATCGGTTACGTTCTATTTATGTTCATTCTAAGAGGTAGTATTACTTCAATAGTTATGAAGTTTCTACATTTTGTTAATTATCTACTTACTGTGATATTATATTTTATACTAATTATAATTAACTGGATTTCCAATTCTCTCTATTTGTTCAGTTTATTTCAAGTATCTGAATATCGATTAGATGAAAATAGAAGTTCATCTTTTCTACATTGTGATGTAAATATATTAGTATATTACAATATCCTTGTTAACATTTACCTCGAAATCAATCCATGTTCTTATAAGTACTTTACAGCGGAGTTGACCAGGGCACTCCATCTCTAATGATTTATAGAATTGCTACCTCGATAGTCGTACTGCATCAATAACAACCATCTTTCTGAAGTGTAAAATATAGAATAAATTATAATTGCTTGAATAACATTATTAAACTAGACTTTCACGACTCATTGTTCTCTCAGTATTGCCCTTGAATAGTTTGACGATAGGAATACGGTTCATTTAAACCTCATCAGTCAGTGGCGTACCCATGATTTCACTGAATCTAGGAAGGCGTTTATCGCGAAATTAGAATAGGTTTTCTTTCATTTTTCTGACACAAACGTGGGTTTGGCCCTCCCCCCCCCCCCCCCCCATCCCTTCTCTCTAAATGAGCCACTGTCCTCTATCATTATTTTTTCAGTTACTGCACGAAATGTATTACTGGAGACATTAGAGACACACAGATAAACTAAGAAATGTATTACTAGAGACATTAAAGACACACAGATAAACTAAGAAATGTATTACTAGAGACACACATATAAACTAAGAAATGTATTACTAGAGACACACATATAAACTAAGAAATGTATTACTAGAGACACACATATAAACTAAGAAATGTATTACTAGAGACACACAGATAAACTAAGAAATGTATTACTAGAGACACACAGATAAACTAAGAAATGTTGATTGAAATGAAAAGCTATATATTACACATGGAGTTCAAAAACTTCTCAAAAAACCAAATTCCTGAATCTGAAAAATGCAAAATTACTGGAAGGTTTTCCTTCAAATTAACAGCATTCCTAGTGAGAAATAAGAAAGGAGAGTTTAGACAAATAGCCGCCTAGAGTCACTGGTACAGAAGAAAAAAATTCAAAACGCGCTTCTTTTGGTTAAAAATATTAGGCGAGTGTTATTCAATATTTCAAATATTACCAGAAAGTCTTCCCTTAATTTATCAAATTTCCCAATGAGAAATGATAAAGAATTAAAAGAGAAAAGAGTAATTCAATAATAATAATCTGTAGAGAAAGGACAGGAGGTAGAGACGTAATCTGGTTTGTTTTAGATCTACCGTCAACCTCGGCTTAAATTTCTACCTGTTTTAATTCTAACTCAAATACCTGTCATTACGGTCACGTGACATTTAAATTAAACATCTTGTATTGTCCCATCCTTGTTACAAACTTTTCAAACTTTCAACTTTTCATTTCATTAGTTCAGACAATAACAACAAAAACTCAACATGAATTACAGAATACTTGGAACTATCTGCTTCATTCTATTAATTAGTAAGTAATCTGTTTTATATTTTATAGAATATATCAATCAATATTTTGTTTTGGAGTTCTGTTTTTTATTAGCTTTCATTTTTAGATTTTGCAACTTCAGTAAGTTGGCTTGATTAAAATATAAAAGCTAATTAAAAACGGAAGGAAAGTTTGGTCTAATACTAATTAGTTATTTTATTATTATGATTTGCCAAATTAATGCAGTTTTTTAGTGGTTGCTTTTTTAAGGCAAATTGATTCTTTGAAAATCATATTTCAATAATTTCATTTATTTTTTTTTTTTTTTTTGAAAATCCACGAATTATCGAAAGAATATGTGTTTTAAGTTATATTTGTGGGCGGATTGCACTGGACAGAAAGAGCCTACCGAGGGGCGGACATCAAATTTTGTCATTCCATTCAACCTTAACTGATTCAGAATTAGACTTGCACTGATTTGAATTATCTCTTTGTTCATCAAGATCGTCCGTTTTGATTTTTTTAGTGATAAATTGTATAAGTAAGTTAGCAATTTTCTTCATATGATGTCAAATTGTAGTAATATTCTGATTGTTCTGATATCTATCTGTGTTTAATTATCTAGAATTATTCTAATCTATTTTCATTGTTTTTATTGTTTCTGGTTGAGATCTAAACCAGTAGATTTTCAGTCGACATTCGAACAATGTTTAAAAAATAATCCTGCTCTGTATCGTTCAAACAGTCGAACGTGATTTGAAATTTAGACAATGTAGGTCTTTAAAATTGAAAAATAAATACCTGACTTTAAAAACAACTAAAACTAGCTTGTCGTTTTCTCTACTTTTAATTCAATAATGAGATTTTAAATGATATGATATGAAACAATTTTAAATTCTAAATAAAT